ATAGCTGGTAACTCTTCAACCTCTAAACAGAATACCAAAAATTATTTTCTTAAGAATATTATTTTAGTTTTATTTTAAAATTCATATTTTTGAATAATATTTTCTATGAAAAATATTTTATGCAAAAAAACCAATAATGCTACAATTAACAAATAAGTAGTAATAATTAAAAGATATAGGCACATGAAATCAATGCAAACAACAATCTAAAAATAAAGATATGCAAATAGATGTCGTACATGACATTGAGTTGAAATTTTAAAATCAAGTTTTTAAATATAAAAGACCACCCGGATTCCCCAACCTTTAGACATAGTTTAGGTATGATTATTTATATTTAAGATCTTCATTTTATTACTTTTCTTTTGGTTGATCTTATTATTGTTTTTTATTAAAGAATCATAAGAAAAACTTAATGAAATAAAATTTCCTAAGTACCCCATCCTCTGGGTGACATTTAAGAACAAATTATTTCATATGAGATTTTCATACAAATCCTTTGAATTTTAGGATGGCTTTAGGTGCTAGAATGGGTTTAAAGTTTTAGGATTTGACTAGTTTCAAGGTCTAGACAATTTAAGGTATTGGGTTGGATTTAGGGTTTAATGTTTGGTTTAGGGTTGAGAGTTTAAGGTTTAGGGTTATGTTTAGTGTATAGGGTTAATTTTAGGGTTTGAGCAAGGTTTAGGGCTTAACTAGGGTCTAGGGTTTAGTTTAGGGTTTAGGCTAGATTAAGTGTTTAGGTTAAGGTTTAGGGATAAGTTTAGCTTAGGGTTTAGTGTTTAGGCTAAAGTTTAGGGTTTGAGTAGGTTTAGGTTTAGTGTTTTTAAGGTTTTTGGTTTAGGGTTAGGTTTTACATATTTTTAGGGTTTTGATTTAAGGTTAGGGTTTAGTGTTTGGTTTTGGTTTTGGTTTAGGGTTTTTCTTGGGACTTTTCCAAAATCTCTAACATCTAAATAGATTTTAGAAGTAAGATAAAAAACCGTGATTTTATTTTCTAATTAAGGTTTTAATGTATAAGTAATGCTTAATGCATGACAATACTTATGACAATTAAATGCTAAACATGAAATTAAACCACTACAAGTGATAAATAAAATTAAAACTACCATGACAATACTAAAGCATTTTCACAAACACCTGAAAAGCATACTAAATGACTACATTCTTAGTTTATCAAATATTTAAAAAATTCCTATAGTACTATTTTTTATTTTGAAAATTTTTATCAAACACTTAAATAGAATATTTAGAAAATTGATTTTATTAACAAAAACATTTATCAAATACATGACAAACTTCCTAAATGGAAATAATTTCATCCACCAAAATACATCAAAAAGGATTATGAAATGGAAAAAACATTTAAACACAAGATCCCAAGCATAACAAACACATCAAAACATGAAAACGAATCACCACAAATACATTAAAATAGAAAGACCAAGAAAGGTAAGAACTACATGTATGAAAAATAAAATTGTATGATGAAAAAAATGATGAAAGAATAAAAGAAATAACTTAGCTTTTTTCACTAAGAGATTTTTTTTCTTTCCTAGGAATATGCATCACTCCCTTGCTACCCGTTTTCTTCCATTTAAAGCTTGATGACAAGAATAAAATGGAGTCCTAAACCCCCTATGAATAGCCCTTCCATTAAGCTTTATAAGAAAAACATTTCCTTCCTTTTCAAACCATATTTCTTTTTTATTTTCTTATATTTTTTGGTCTTTCATTTCCCTCTTTTGTTGTGTGTTACCACTCTATTTCCTTCAATCCCCGCCTCTCATTCCAACCTTAATATGATACATTTAGAGACCCAAACTTCTTTCCTAACTCTTTTATCCTTTCCATTTAATGGATGTAGTGATTTTGTCTTTTTCCCCTAATCTTGGTGATCAAGTAACGCAACCTTGACCCTAGGATTTAAACCCTTTTAAGATTAATGATTTTGAAGAAATATAGCACACATATTGGCTTTTAGAACAACTGTTCTTATGTGAAAAGACCCTTATTAGTGTTTTAAGCCTTTTTTCTTATGATCTTTTCTAGAATCCTATGATCCAATACTTATTTTCATGATTTTAATGGACCAAAATTCATAAAATAATATTTAATTATGATATAGAGCTTTTCATAAAAATAAACCCCAAAAAGACTAAATTAGAAAAATGCCTCCTAAAGAGTTTTAGTAATTTCACTCATTTTAAAGTGCAATAAGATTTTTAATGCATTAAAATTCATGAAATAATATTTAAATATGATATGGAATGCTTAACAAAAAATGACCTTAAAAAGGTTAAATTACGAAAATGCCTTTATAAGGCATTTTAGTAATTTCACCATTTTGAAGTACAATCAAAATTTTTAATGCATAAAAATTCATGCAATAATATTTAAAAATGATCTAAAGTTTTTATGAAAAATTGACTCTAAGAAAGCCAAATGACGAAAATGCCCTTAAATAACATTTTTGTAATTTCACTCTTCTTGAGGTCAAACAAGGTTTTAGAGTGTCTAAATCATAATTTTATTAATTATAAACCTTAATAATCCTATTCAATTGTGAATTTCAAAAGTTGACTTGAGTTTGACTAAATTTGATTGTATTTAACCGTGAGGCATTTTGGTCATTTTTAGTTTAAAATTCATTTTTTCCAAGGATTTCCTTTTTAAACATAAGTATTTGAAAAAAAAAAATTTGACCCATTCCAAGTAATTTTGATCGATCTTGCCCACTTTCACTCAGGGCCTCCTAAAAGATATTTTGGTCATTTTATCCCTTTTTGTTCAAAACTCAAATTTTGTTTTGAAGCTTTTAAGAATCCAATGTCTCACCCATTTTCGACCAAAATCAACCAATTTTCAAACAAGTTTTACCAAGTTGTCTTTAGGTTGACTTTTGACTTTTTCCATTGATTTGTTTACTTTCTTATATTTCCTAAAAATCAATTTATTCAAAAATCTATAAATATTCATAAATCCTAAAGAAATCTTCAATATGAATTCAATCTTGATTTTAAAAGCATCACGACTGACTAGAACGTATCTAGATAAAATTAGATATCTACAGTTTGTATCTATGTTTGTCACTTTAACACTTGTAACACGTTGAAATATATGTCGAACTTGGTCGGATATAACAAAAAAAAAAGAAAAGAAAAACATAAATTGTGCGAATAATGACACCATAGGTTCTTTTGTTATTATGTTTATCATTAATTTTTTTCACATGAGTAAATATCTTTTAAAAATCAATTCAATATTTACCATATATTTTTAATTGATGATTATAATATATATAAAAAAATTATTACCGTGTTTTGCTGTTCTGTGTCTTCATTTTTTAAAAATTGATGTGTCATTGTACTCATCTTACATATATGTGTTCATGTTTCATAACTAGTCAGTAAGGATTGATGGGCTCATGTAGTTAGGATTTAAGTTAAACCTTTCTGATGACCAATAGATATTAATTTGTTTGTAAAAAAATCACATTGTATCAGAAGTTTATATTTGATATATTGTTAGTATATAGATTTTACATATCGTCAATGAATTAAATAATGTTGCCTCATATCACTCATAAATTTTTATAAGTTTTTAAAATAAATATATAAAAACTTAAATTTTTTAAAAAAAATTCATTAATGTGGTAATATTATCTAATTTAATGATCATATATAAAATTTATATACTAGTATTGTATCAAATCTAACCTCTTGTCATGATGTTAAAGTTAGTATTAGAATAAAAATAAAAGAAAATGAACATTACATAGTGAAAACTAGAGATAGTAATAGGTAAAGGTAAGTTTTGGCTTAACTTGATTTGAACTTGACCCCTTAATATTTATATCCGAATTCGATCTGATATTAAAATATTATTTTTTAATATCCAACCCGATCCAACCTATTTATTCATAAACTGAATCTAATCTGACCTAAAATTAATTTAATATAATATTCATAAAATATTATTTTAATATAAATTATATTTTAATTATTTATATAATATTTTTATTAAGTTAATATTTTAAATTAAAATATTAAATAATAATTTTATTAATATAATACATTTATATAAATATAAAATTAAATAACTAATAAAAATATATAAACGATATCACTTAAAATCTGATTTTAACCTTAATTAAAGAAAAAATGTGACCTAATCTCCGATTTTTAAAAAAAATTAATTTTATAAAATATAAATAAATTAAAACTCATTAAATACAAATTATTTTATCATTTTAATCAAAGCACCATCCATTGAATTAATATAATAAATGATGATAAATTCGAGGGAGATAACCCAACTATCTATAAAGCTTCAACTAACAGTCTTCAAACTGAAAACAGTCGTACCAGTATTTTTCCCTATGGTAATATAGTTGTTGACAATGCAAACCTAAAATGAAACAAATTATTAGTAGTAAAAAAAAAATCGTTTATTTACCATATTATTTTGAGTTAAAAACTTTAAATTCGAATGACGTGCACGCATAAGAACACGAGCAATTTGACAAAATTGGGTTTGTTACGCTGGCCAAATCCTCACCCCCACATAAAAGGAATGCTTGGGTTAGATTGGCATTTTGTTGAAAGAATCTGCAACTAAAAAATCCACCAAACAATCCAAAAAGTACACCGCATACTTTTCAGATGACAGATTCCGGAACCTGATCCAACTCTCTCAACCCCATAGCCCAACGGAACGAAAGAAAAGGCCCAACCCAACTCGACTCTATTCCATGGAATCAATGTACCCAATATCCAACCCCAACAAGCAGAAAGTTAACCGGAACCAAAAACAAGAGAAGAAAAAAAGCTCTCAAGCAAAGCACTCTCGCGTGAACCTCGTGCAACGTAGCTGCCACCCAACAAAAGTAGCCACCCTAAATCAAGTAGCCAAACCTTTGGTGTACGTGCGTGGTTGTGTCTCTATCCGTTGGACTTAATTGGATTTCCCGTTCTGACAAAAAGCATTTTCATCCCAATCTCCCAGATAAAAAAAAAAAAAAAAAGACAGCCATGCACTAGCTTTTCATGCGAAATTGATCCAACTATCTCATTATTTGAACCCTCGTCAGACAAGGAAATAAACTAGAACCACTGGTAGTGGGGGTACGATCAATTCCATAGGAACATCTTGATTAGATTTTTCTAACACTGAAAAACACTTCAATCAAGAAGGGACGACAGGAATCTGTTCATCGAAAAACTTGCTTCTCATGAAACTTGTGAAAGCTGAAGATACGGGTAGTTCTTCAAGCTCATCAAAGAATTCATTTTCTTCTGATGTTGGTGTTGAAGATATCGTTATATGAGGGCAATAGAGTGGCTCTTCATCAAACAGAAACCCCAGTGGGTCATGGGTTTCCTCTAGACTCCCGGTGAAAGGATCTTCTTGGTTAATTATAATATTTTGGGGAGAGACTAATGGAGATTGTAGATAGTAAAAATGATCTTCACTTGCATCTTCACCACTGTTTGTTTTGATGGGTTCGTTTTGGACTTCTTCTGGCTCTTGTTCTGACACTACTGGCAGCTGTTGTTGTTTAGGAGCTTGGGACTGATCAACACAATGGGAGGTTTGGGGTTCTTTTGGGGACTGTGCTAGGTTGGTGGTGTGGAGATCAGGGCCTGGATGATTATGACCAGAGGTATAAGTGATGATGAACATTCTAGCATCTGTTCTGCATCTTTCTACTTGCTTTTTGGCTAAACAATTCTTTGATGTGCTGCACCTGTAATATCCCCTTCATGATGAAACATGAAAGTTTGTGAGAATCCTTGGAGGGGAGAGAGAGGTGGAATGGGACAAAATGAGGAGAAAAAGATGGTCTTCTTGGCTAAATTTTAAGGTGTAGAAGAAAAAGAAATTTAATTCAACTACACCAATAACATGTATGTTTGGAAGAAGCAAAAGCCAAGCATGAAGGGATGAAATTTTGCTTCTCTTGGCTAACTAGAAGTTTATGAGCTCATAAGAATTAACAATTGTGAAGATTAAAACGAAGAAGAAACACACCTCGGATAAGGAGATCCTTTGATAGGTTTTTGCCCATATTTCCTCCAGGACCATAAATCAGAAGGTAGCCCTTCATTCTTTAGTTTTCCACCATTTTCTCCTATCTTCACTGTCACAACAGTCTTCTCAACCACCTTCCTGGTAATAGAACATAGGGAAATTTAGAAATGTCAAACGAACTTAAATGCGAGAGGGGGGGGGTGTTCTCAAATGAACCAATGCTAATTGCTAAAGAATTCAAAACTGTAAACCTTCTTTTGGGCGCCTGTGTATCAGTTGGTTTAAGTTCTGATTCTTCTGATGAAGCCTTATAGTCCAATTTTGGAGAGACAGAAACGTCCATGACCACTTTCTGTTTCCTGCAGCTATGTTCTTCTGCTTTTATATATTATGCCAAAAAGATTAAACGAGACGAGCAGAGCTGTTGGGAGATTTTATTAACTTAGAAAACTAGTCATGGGAAAAATAAAAATCAAAGGATTAAGATCAAGAGCTCCAACCAATTGACTGTGATTTGTGAGAGAGAAGAGATAAAGATAAAAGGGAGGCAGGCAATATAACAAAACCCCCAACTTGCTTCTCCTTTCATGTCACTGATTTAATACAAAGTTAAGAGCAACTATGCATAAATCACGACTCACTTTCACATCCACCCCCACCTTGCGATAAAATAAACCTTCCATACAGCTGCAGCATATAAATGTGTAGATATGTCATGGATAGAACCTGCCGGCATCATCCTCCACTTGATTGGCTTGAGCAAGTTTGGGCCAAGTCCTGTGCCCACACACAATCAATTTGCACTGCCACGTGGATATTTCCATAAATGAAGCTGCAAATCCAGATAATTATCTTAAACCAGAATCCAGAATGCAGACACGTTTGTGAATCTCCCCAAACAGGCAGAATACGAGTTTGCTGTTGAATTTTTGTGGATTTGGTGGAAAGAACATGCCATAAGCACAATTTCGACATCTTCTGTTAGTGAACTATTTGTTGGGCTAAAAGCCTTCAATCCAATCACACCGATGGAAGCGAAATCAAACAATAAATCAAACACACAAGAGACAATAATTTAACGTGATTCGGTCCAACTGACCTACATCCACGGATGAGAAACAAGATCCACTAGTTATAGAGAATTACAAACTTAAATCAAATCATCAACCTCACTCAACAATCAATACTTATAAGACACTCTCAATCTCCTCTAGTCCTATAGAGTATTCTCAACCCAAACAAACACAAACTCAAACCCTTGTGCACCCTTTCAACATAACCAAACACATACTCATATGCTCCCATACACCATACCTATGTAGACCCTCTCAGTCTCTTTTAGTCCACTCACAAACAAACATATACACCCATAAGACGTAGAACCCAAATACTCCTATGGGGTGTCTATCCCATAAAACCCTACAACTTTCTTACATCTTTTTCTCATACCTAACCCTGTAGAGACTTCACCTATTTATAACCATATAAACTTGCCCATTAAGAATCTTTCTCCTCTTAGAATTCTTCTCCTGTAAGTCAAACTTGCCTATTAAGAATCTCGTTCCTTTTAGAATTCTTCTCTTGCAAGTCAAACTTACCTATTAAGAATCCTTTTCTCTTGAAATTCTTCTTTTGCAAGTCTTCTTGTCCATCAAGCAATATCTGACAAATCCTAAACAAATCTCTAACAAATCTCAAACAAATCTCTTATGGGATTTGAGTCAATATTTCCAACAATCTTCACCTTGACTCAAATTCCATCAATCATCTATATTCATGCTAGACATGCTTGGCTCCACTTGCAATGAAAGTCTCACAATCATCTTCTCTTTTCTTGTGTCTTCACGCTTCATACAAACCAATCCTCAATCTTAAAACTCAAACTCTTGTCTTGAATCGAGCTCCTCTAAGCTTACTTCTTCTCATATCTCAAACCAAGCTCTTCCAATATCTCGAACTGTCAATTCTTCCCATGTCTCGAACCATCAGCTCTTCCCACATCTTGAACATTTGACTCTTCTCACGTTTCGAACTTGTTGGGGATCACCACGGCTCTGATACCATTTGTTGGGGATCACCACAGCTCTGATACCATTTGTTGAGGAATACCACAGCTCTGATACCATTTGTTGGGGAACACCACAGCTCTGATACCATTTGTTGGGCTAAAAGCCTTCAATCCAATCACACCAATGGAAGCGAAATCAAACAATAAATCAAACACACAAGAGACAATAATTTAACGTGATTCGGTCCAACTGACCTACATCCACGGATGAGAAACAAGATCCACTAGTTATAGAGAATTACAAACTTAAATCAAATCATCAACCTCACTCAACAATCAATACTTATAAGACACTCTCAATCTCCTCTAGTCCTATAGAGTATTCTCAACCCAAACAAACACAAACTCAAACCCTTGTGCACCCTTTCAACATAACCAAACACATACTCATATGCTCCCATACACCATACCTATGTAGACCCTCTCAGTCTCTTTTAGTCCACTCACAAACAAACATATACACCCATAAGACGTAGAACCCAAATACTCCTATGGGGTGTCTATCCCATAAAACCCTACAACTTTCTTACATCTTTTTCTCATACCTAACCCTGTAGAGACTTCACCTATTTATAACCATATAAACTTGCCCATTAAGAATCTTTCTCCTCTTAGAATTCTTCTCCTGTAAGTCAAACTTGCCTATTAAGAATCTCGTTCCTTTTAGAATTCTTCTCTTGCAAGTCAAACTTACCTATTAAGAATCCTTTTCTCTTGAAATTCTTCTTTTGCAAGTCTTCTTGTCCATCAAGCAATATCTGACAAATCCTAAACAAATCTCTAACAAATCTCAAACAAATCTCTTATGGGATTTGAGTCAATATTTCCAACACTATTAATAAGGCAGCACTGCTGGTCGGATCACTGTTTCATTTTTACTTTGAAATTTGGCTATACACTCAGCTTAATCTAACTCTAGTTCTTGTAAACATATGGGTATGATCAATTGATAATAGCTTGCTTTTTCTTTTTTCCTCTCATTTCCTTTACTGTTGCTACTGGGAAATGGAGCAGGTTGTAATACTTTCGGATCAAAAGAATCCTGGGTATGGATTTTTTGGGAAGAAATTCACTTCATGTGAATAAGACCACTCAGTTAAAGGGTGAAACAAACAAAATTTTGTCTTCAACGTATGAAAACTAGTGGGCCAAAGCTTGGAGAAATTTTAGACCCGACGAAACAAAACTAGACTTGTGATTATCTGAACAGTGGAGGTTAGCGTGGGAATTTACAAGGTTTTTGTTGACATTTATTTATTTGGATTGAACGAATTATAGTTTCAGTGTACCAACGTTCTTCCTTGGAACTTGGAATCCCATACTAAAATGGGGTTGTCGGGAGTTGGCCATCAGCATTGCTGCACCCTACAGCCAAACCACTTGGTTCAGTTAGCTTTCTATAAATTAAAAAAAAAAAAAGTACACTACGTGAGTACTATAAAATTTAAAAATCATCAAAGATCAAAACCACATTGTAAACAAATTCATAGTCAAAACCAATAACGTGGGCACGGGGAGGGAAAATAAATGTATTTTTAACTAATTTTATGGTTAATATTTATTTAAATATTTTTTATATTTTAATTATTTTTATATTAATGTAAAATTATTAAATTTTAATCTTAAATTTAATTAAAATTACACTTTTCATCTTTAAATAAAGTAGACAAATTTCTATTAATTTTTAAGCAGTAGGACCAAAAACCAAAATTGTTCCACCAACTATCTGCATTATAAATTAGATTTTTTTTTTTTACTAAAAATACTTTAATTTGAATCTTGTGAGTTCAAGATTTCTTTTTAATTATTAAGTCAATGTTTTATTGATAAAAAATATTTTAATTTAATAATTAAATTACAAAATAATATATTTTATTATTATGTAGCTCAGTCATCATATTAAAAAATTTTCTTTCTTTCATCAAATGGAGTATAAGTTTTACACCCAAATCAAGTCATCAATTTCGGTTTAAAAATATGTCAGTCTTGACTATACTTTAAAAGTTTGAACCACTGTTTTTATTAACTTAAATCTCGACCATATATATTTCCCCATGAAGATACAGAAGAATAGTGGCAGACCGGAGTCTATGTACTAAAGACATGATGCATTTTTCGTCTAAAATTGTAAGCGTTATTTAGTCAAATATTAAGCTTCGGAAACATTATGGCAACCTATATGGTAGTATTTGGTATTATTTCTAAAGTTATCATGATAATTTAATTACTAAAATAATTTTATTATTAAGGTGATTTTATCATTCGTGATTTAAAATTAATTTATTTGATTAAAAATAATTAATTTTTAGTAATTAAAAATCAATGTGCTTAGTATTTTTATTTGAAAGTATCAAAATAATTATGCACATTATGATAGTTACAAAAATTAATGATTTTAATGTTATTTAAATATAATAATTTGTATATAAATTATTAATAATATTTTATTTACTTCATAATAAATATTATCAAATTATTAAATTAAAAATATATTTTTGATAGTAAATTAGTTTTTATATTATAAATTATGTAACAAAATATTTGAATTAAAAAATAAAACTAATATATTAAAATCCAACAGTTATATTATAAATAAATTTTAAAAAATTAAAAAAATATGAAAATATTTTTGAATTTGTTACAATAAATATTAGTTTGAAAATATAAAAATTATAATATAAATAATTACAATTAATTTTAAGAAGAAGCAAATTTTTAATTTACCTATTAAATGGGTGATATTGATTATTAATAATGTTACATATCATTTTATCTCAATGATAAAAGTTTCCCACTACTTTGGATAGGAATTAGATTACTTTTTAAGACAGTGATCTAAGAACTCTTGATGGTCCAATATCACCGTCACTTAGGATTATTAAGTGGTTATCAAATACAACCATCTAATTATTATGCATAAATCATCATATATTTTAAGTGATTCTTCATATCAAACACTACTTATATAGTAATCGTCGCAGAAATGACTTCATCAAACAACTTTTAGAGATGAATTTACAGTCAAAACATTGCTAGCTACTTTATTGCTCACAGTATTGTGTCGAATTCAAAGCAAGAAAAATTAAAGGATTACATGTTAGAAGAACAATAATGATGAGCATAAGCCTGTTGCTGATTTTTTTTTCTTAAAGGATAGACGATGAAAATGGTGCGATTCGAGCTCTCATCTTATATATTTTTTAAACTTTTTTAACTACATTATTAAAATAAGTTAACCCCATGAGAATTAATTAATGTAAGAGTTTCTATTGGATGCACTATTAGTTATAAATTTTATATGTTATCAATTAATCATATAATACCACTTTATTAGTAAAATGTTTTTTAAAAAAAAATTAAGTTTTTGTGTATTTATTTGAAGGATTTATAAAAAATTATGTTTACTTAGTAATGAGTCGACATTATATAATTAATTAATAGTGCATAGATTTTTTTACTCTTATAATGTATCAAATATAAATTCTCA